CCCACCCCCTCCCCTCGCCCGCCTCATGCTCGAGTTGCTTGCTATTCATGGGGAGCACGGGGCATTACATACATTAAGACTAGGCTAGAGTGAGAGAGATGAGCTTTACACACGGGGAGCAGCATCACTCCATACGTCTCACCATATAGCAAGAGGACAGATGAATTGAGTAGATGTCAGCAGCACCCGAGACGCAGGATAGATTCCTTCATCAAAACTACTTTCTGAAACTCACACGTTTTAGGAAACTGCTGGAAATTGAATCATATCAAACGTTAGTCATCCAGCGGATGTTGTTTCCAATTGACATTTGACGTAGGGAAAAATCAAAAATCGGGGATTTATGGGACACAACAGGGTTCCTTTTCTGGTAGTGTACTTGAGTGAAGGGTGTACCTACCGTAGATGTGGATATATATCTATAGATAGATGCCCCCCTGCCTTCTGGAAGGCAGGGCATGTCGCTTTACTCCGTCCTCGCCAATTGAAAGGACTATTGAGCAGCAGCGATACGTGTTGCAGAATTTCCGCATTCTCCTCCATGCATCTCGTCCTTCGTCGCTCCTCCTCTAGTCAGGCCTGTTACCGGTCGGAGCAGAGGGGGTGCACGGGAGAGCGCGAAAGGGACGCGTGTAGACTTGAGGAGGAATAGCAAAAGTAACATTACTAAAAAATATTAAAATAAAAACAGCATTGTTAACCGGCATTCCAATTTCACGTGAAACTTGGGGGGCAAATTCTAAGAATACCGTACAAAGTAATAAACTGGCATCCTGAACGATCTTAAACTCAGTTGAAACGTTAAGAAGGGACGTCAAAGGAAAAGTGAAAACAAGGAGAACGCCCAGGTAAGTTGCCCCCCGACAACCGCTGAACCACGGTTCGACAGCTTGTCAATCAAATTCATCCTCTCGAGGAGGAAAAGTGGCACAGGTGCGAAAAAAAAAGAATCGTCGATAACATTATAATGTTTTTATTTTTTACAACGCCATCTTTTCTCATCACAGTCATCTAACTTAATTGCCATGATTAACAGCCAGACACAATTAATAAACGCTTCCACAAGTGGTGGGGTGGAGCCGGGCGGCGCGGCGGGAAGAGGCCGCGCGGCCACAACTCTCTTTGGTAACTGCGCGCGCCATCCGTCTCTCCCCGCCCGCGCGTCGCCCGCGGCGGGGGG